TCGAAAAACTGTCCCGTGTTCCCGGTTTAATGTCGTTTTCGTATCCGTTCCTTACTTAGATCTAGACGAGGAACACGATCCGATCGATGTACCCACCGGGCGGGCGAATCGAGCAAATTCGAAAATTGGAGCAAATAGAGCAAATACGGCGTGCGATGACGGCAAAGTGAAACTTCAATTGCAAGCGTGAGGGCCGTTCGTCCTCCAAGGTGCAAGGGCCTCGGCTGACTGGATAGGATTAACCGACTGATCTTGACCTTGCGACGGGTTACCAGCATTTGCTACCGAATGGGTAGCCCTTCCCCTTCTTTACCTCTTTTCCCACTCACAGTACATGGCCCGCTGCAGACTTTTTCAGTGGCGTAGTCTTCTGTTTGCGTTTCTGCTTCCATTCTCTCGTCGTTTCTCTCTCGTCTCTTTTCAATCACTTTCATCATCGTTACCATCGATTAGCATTTTGCACTTTAAACGACTGTTCTTTCTATTGCGTGTAACGCAATTCGTTTGTGCTCTGTCGAACGGAGTAAGAGAAGCGCAAGACAAAATCTCAGTTAGAGACAAGAGTAGCCAAACAGTACGCACGCCAATGGATCTCTTTGCCCCACTATGTTCATCCTGTGGCGAGTGCACTTGGTGTATAGAACGAGTATCGGCTGCTTCACCATTACAAGGAAGCCGGCTCGTCGTCCTCGTCGTCGTCATCGTCGTCTTCTTCACCCTTCTACCATCGTTGCAGCACCGTAAAGAGAGAACCCACGTGGGCGATTGGGCACCTGTCGCTCCCTGTGCCCTTTCCTTCTCCTTTGCGCTCCGTTCACATTCATATCCATCCTCTTCTAGTTCCCTACCACGTCTTTCCGCTTCCACGCCCTACCATATCCTTTTATCCGACCGCTCTCTCCTGCTCCTCACCATTTCTTCCACCTAACAGCCTTCTGAACTCTCTTATTTCTTTCTTTCGTCGCATTTCCTCCGGCCTGCACCTTGGCGATCTTCTGCCAACCAGCCGAGGCTGCCTCCCTGATTCCACACCGTTCGCTCTTGCTCCAACCAACTTCTTCTTCCACCTTTGTCCAACTTCTTTCTTTC